GAGCACAAACAAACAGTAAGTGTCTTTTATGGCACACCACACAGCCTCTGGTGCTGTCTGATCTAGTCAGTGTCAATGAACCTGAGGAGGCTTATCCTTGTTGTTTACCTGGATGAAAAGCAGCATAAGTGATGAGGATATCTCTCAACACCAACAGATTGCCCAAACCTTCACCCCTGCAGACACATACATTATTAGTAATGCATAAATAAGCAGAATTAGCAGAAACTATAATAACTATAAACTACAACAACTACAATATTGAATTATGTTTTGCAAATGATCTCAGACTCCATATCCAATTTAGTCGTTTTTTACTCTAAATCTTCATCTAAATTCATAGCACATACTTGAGATCAGTGGCTTTCAAACTTTCTCATGTCAAGCACCCTCAAACTGACACAAATTAGTCCCCATTTTATAAGATTTTGTCCCAAATTTAGTTGATGTGGTCTTTAGAGTTAGTTGTGTTAGAGTTAATACCAATAAATTAAACATGACCGTCTATTGCTTTTTGTTTTTGGCATCAACTGAGGTAAATAACCCCTATTAGCTGCTTAAAACTAAATGTATGGATCTTTACTCCCACAGACATCACATCAAGGGTCAGCAGATCCAACACACTATCTCTCGACTCATATCTAAAGTATCACAATCACTCACTGGTAGTAGCTCAGGTCTCTGTTAGTTCTCGGTACATCCTTGTCAATGATTCGTATGGCTTCCCGCAGCTCCGCTTGGTCAAATATGACCCGCTCAAACAATATCTGGTGGGAGGAAAGAAATGCAGACACAATTGATATTGATCTCAGTTTTAATTGTTTTAGTGGAGTCCATACATTTAAATACACTTATTTTTTATTCTGTGGTGGTCTTGCACTAGAAAAGGGAATAATAATGTACAGGCTGTAAACTAGTGTCAGTAGTTTGAAGTGAGTATCATTCTGTCAAAGATGCTTGTGAAGTATAAATATCTGTATGCACAAATCTATCAGCTGCACTCACTCTCCAGACAGAGGTGTTAAACACTTCAGCTAGTACAGAGGTCAAATGATACCACTGTTTGTTTAACAAAATTAGATCCTGTTGTGTAATTTCCCTAAACACACTTCACTCCTCCCACTTTAAAAAGTTATTTGCTTTTCTCTTGTACCAAACAAAGCCAAAGAAAATATATTTAATGGAACTACAGAAATCTAACAAATAAAATTTATTGGAAATAAAAACAGAAGTACATATGAAATAGAAAAGATAAATATAGATTAGAATTACACTAACAAACTAACTTACTAATATCTAACTCATCTAACCTGTGCCTGCAGCTCCAAGAAAGCCAGTCTGTCCCTGACCTCCTCTGACTGGTCCTGGGTCTGTTGCTGGGCCTGTGCCTGCCTCTGGTCAAAGTACCTGACCGCTGCCACCAACTCAGCTGGATGAAGATCATATGGTCACAGACATTTTAAAAACAGAGAAAGCAGAACAGTGAAAGCTGTGAAATATGATTTCCTTCATTGCGACAGAGTTGGTGCATGTTTGGAGTTTTACCATCAGTGCCGTTGAGGTGCATTTGCACAGCTGAAGGTAGAAACTGCTGCCACTTTCTCTTCATGACCCGGTAACGTACAACCAATTGCTCCTGCAGCAAAGAGCGCTCTAAAGCCGTCGAGCTGCATGGGTACATCCCAAACAGAAAGCGCCACACCAGGCCACGCTCAGAGGGAGACACGCCACCTGGACAGGGATTGAAAACATTTAGCTCACTAGGTTATTTCAGCTGTTATCATTTAGTCAAACCAATCACCACCCGACCAAGTGGAAGAATTAGAGCTTTACAGCTGAAAACAGAGAGAATCTTTAGGAGAGAAACACTGGTCCAAAATTTGGTGAACTTTACCCTGCTTTCACTGGGATTTGAGATGAGGATTTGAGATATCTTATGTAATGTTTTGCTCTGCAAGTTCTTTAATCTTTGGTTTTCATGTTTGTAGGGATGGAATGTGCACAAAGGTCAAAAGGCCACAGAAAAAGAGAGTTTCCACATTCCTGCTCATGGATGGTAGATAGAATGTGATGTGTTACCCCAGCGAGAACTAGACTGTCTTGTGCCCAATGTTCTGCTGAAGCCTTCAGGACTTTCAGCTATATAAAAAAAAGCCAATCAGCATGCTAAGGTGGTACCAAGACCATCTAAGTGACAGTATAAGAACTGTTTTAACACATTTATGCGGAGGAGCCACCTCTGAAACATTAATCCAGGCATATCCTCATTTCTTAGGATCACACACTGAATATTTTTGTTTGACTGTTGAACCTCATGTGATTTTATTCTGCTCCTTAGGAATGGCATGTGTTGTTTTATCTCTGGAGTCACACTGGAGTTGTTTGCTTGAGGGGGTCCGATGTACAATGAAATGATCAATTTCAGAGAATGGCTTGACTGTGTCTCAGTTTAAAGCCCTGCAGCAAAGCATCACTTGACATCTTCTTGGTTGATGCATTTGGACACTCATCATAGAAATCTTTGTTAAATTATAAACTGTAACAACAAAATACTGCATGTGTAGACACCTGGGCACACACATTTCTCTCCATACTTAAGCCATATTTTATGTTATGAAATGTTTAACCTCCTTTATTCAATTAGACAAATTGTTGTTGCATAGCATTTCACACTGTTTGGATACAGAAATGTATGAATAATCCCTCAAACGTGAATTTCACTGGATTAGCAAAGATTTTGTATTTCTTAATGGGCCTTATAGGATTATTTAAGATTTCTCCTTGACCTGTTTTGACCTCAATCATTACTTTCTATTGTATGAGGTTAAAACTGAGCCACACTTGTTGCATGCGAAATATATATAATATAATATAAATAAAGAAGAAGTTTGTCATAATGATGCACCTAAACTTGACATTACATGCCAAGTGCAAAGCACGTGATTACCTAATATCTGCATCAACACATGACTGACAGAAGGACAGACAGACAGACAGACAGATATACCGTTTTTGAATATATGCATCCTCAGTCTTGACTCGTCGACCCTTCCCTCAGCGTCCATGACCCCAGGTAAGGTGAGACGTGCGGCGGACAGAGAAGGAGAGCTGACCGCTGCAACTCTCCTCTGGAAGCGGACATCACGCCGGTGACTGTCCGAGGAGCTCGTCTCTTCTCCCGCTGTCTGCCGTGGACTCCCGTTATTTAGATCTTCCATCTGCGCCTGCAGCAGGCCGTCGGCGATCAAGCCACGCACAGGTGAAGAAGAGCTCGTCTGACGTGCCGCATCCACAACAGACAGCCCTCAGTCATCCCCACAGACTGCTCCCGTCGCTTCCCATCTCCCTGTGCTGAGCTTGGGCTGAAACCGAAACCAGCCAGGACTTATTCCTTTATTTTCAGCCGTGTCAAATCGATCAAGATCACAAAACTTTTGTTGAAGTAGTTTTTCAGAAACGCATTTACAGCCCCCGCTGACTCTCATTCGTCCATCTGGGAGTCATATGACTGCACCTTGAGATCCGAGTTTGGCCCACATTCCAGGTGGAGTCCGGACTTAGGTGCCAAAGTTCACATTGGATTTTTGAGAGTGTCTTACTCCACCTAGTGGTTTTATTTATCGAAGACAACAACATCCAGCACAGCAGAAAGGTTTCCAGGAACAGTTTGTGTATTAATAAAAGCCGTGTGTGTGTGCCAAAACAAATCCATCATTCTTTTTCTTTACTTTGAAGAGGGAAATGTTCATGGGGGACAGCAATATTTGCTGGGAAAATCCCCAAATTAATATATTTGAACTCCAAATCATTGCATTACTGTACCACATTAGTGAAGTATTGAATAGAAAAACGTGGCATTAAAAAACAATATATTACAAAACAATACGTTTTATGTTTTATATGCAAATCTTCAGACACTTTTCCAAATACATCCACGTGTTTTTCATTGAACTTTTTAACACATTTTTTATTTTTTTTATTTAATCTAAATGAATGTGTAAATTTGACTGACTGGCCAGGCCTCTTTCAGGGGTGGCACCTCTACATCTGCTCCTACTTTGAATTTAGATTTTTAACTAGAAACAAGAGACACAGTTCTAGTTGTGGTGTAATTATTTTCTTAATTAGAGAAACATGTTAATATTAGGCTTGCTTACTGCTTTTCCCCGTTGCTCATCCACTTGAGAGGACATGTTTAGATTTGCTTGTTTGTTTCTTTCACAAGAACAATTACAGCAACTAAAAATGCTTTCAATTTATGCACATTGAGGATTGTATGTCTGATTAAACCATAATTTCAACAGGAAATTATTGAAACTAGTCTGTGGAGCAAAGAGGCCATCAACATGGGTTTACTGTAAAGATGCTGAATAAACATAATACTCCGTTTACAACACTAATTACCTCCTGGATGACACAAAATGTGGTTCCCTTCCTTTCACAACTAAAGGGTTGCCCTATAACATTTACTGAAATGTTCAAGGGTCAAGGTTCCACTTTCCAAAGCATAAACACTAATAATCTGGTTTAACTGAAAAAGCCCTGTGCTGGCTGGTTCAATACGCACTTTCTTTGGGTATGTAACACATATTAGGCTACCCTAATGTGACGTGCGTTTGTGCAAACTTACTTTCTGAGCTATTTTTGTTTGTGTAAAGAGTAGTTCGAAAGGTGTGAAAATACACAGAAGCTTCAAGTTAATTTTAGTCATTATAGCCAGCATAATTTCACTTTACAGTATTTTTATTTTCCAATGACGAGGAACAAATATCAAATTCTTGATGCATAAATATATAATATTTGCCCTCAAACTGTGAAATGAAATAATATACTGTGGTCAGTGTCACTTTTTTTCCCAACTTCCCTTTTTTTAAGTTCACCACAGCTGAGCAACAGGAAACACACCCAAGAATTTCACATCAGTGTTACGTTCTAATACATTTGACAAAGCACCTCAAAGCTCTATAACCTCTTCTGGGTCCCTCTCATGGTGAGTATTTGCTTTATGCAGTAAATTGCAGAATACAGCCTGTGTAGGATGTAGGCTACAGCCGGATAGCTACTGCTGTAAAACTGAATTCACTCTAAGATTTCAGGATTATGTCAGTTAACCTAACCTTAAAGAATGTCTTTCTTGGATCAGATGAAGCTGCCGGGCCTCATTAATCTTTGTCTCATATTGATCCTGGCATCCCTCTCAAAAGGTGGGTGACATATTGAGTTGATGTGTGTTTTAAATTTTATCTTATACTTTTAAAGTATGAACTTTAATAAATATAAATTCTGGTTTGGTTTTGAACACAGGTCAAAAGTGGAGCATTGATGTCCCCAGGCAAATTAATGCAACAGAGGGCTCCAACGTGACCATACCATGTACTTTTACCCATCCGTACAAATCCAACAGACAAAATGTTCAAGTTTACTGGAAAACGCTTTCTGAGAGATTTCAATCTCAAACCACTGACCTGGACAAATATGCATTCATTTTTCACACAAATGAAACATTTGTGATTGAGAAGTATAGAGGAAAGACCATGCTCATTGGGGATAAAGACAAAGGAAACTGCTCCCTCAAGATCAAAGACATCAAATTTAATGACCCAAGCGTCTATGTGAGAATTGTCACAAATGATGAAAAATACAGTTTCAAGAAGATTCTTACCTCCATTAATGTGGATGGTAAGAATTTAAGTAAAACATTTTAATCATATATGCTTGAGTAAAGTGAAATTAAATTAATACCTTACATTTCTCCCACATTACCAGGGGGTGTGCCGGTCAATTCTTTACCTATAACAGGTAAAACCTTCACTTTTTATTATCGTTTTTACTTTTATATATTTGTTTCTTTATTCCTCAATTTGCATACAAGCTGTGTATTAGCTCTCAATAAAGAAAGTACCCCAGGTTAGAATGGAACTATAATGATTTTTTTTTTTTTTTTTTTAGATATCACATTTAACACCCTCGAAGTAACCACAAGTAAGTTGTACTTTTACACAGCTTATTTTTCAGGACAGTTTCAGAATAATATTAGTATTTCAAAATCTGTAATACAGTTTAGGTCGCTGCTCACAGAAGTTGTTAATTTCTTCACAGTTGAGATGACCAAGATGACCTCAACACCATCAACACAAATGTATACGACCATTTTTGTACCAGTTGCTGCACTTCTGATCATTATTTTTGTTGGTGGAATTATCTTTTGCATAAAACACAAAAGGTAACATCACTATCATGGGCTCAATTGTAAATTGAGTGCGGGGCACAGATTCTTGTGTTTTCCTTACGTAAACCATTTGCACACATTTTGAAGTGCCTTTCCATTCAGATATGTGATTTTTTAATTGTTACTTTACTTGAATGTTTGAGCTTCACTGTGCAGAATGATGTATATGCAGAGTACGATTTTGTGATATCACAACTAGTTTGAAAGTCCAGTACATCCAGTGATGTGGAAAAGAAATAATTTATGTAATTTGCATTTGATTCACAATTATTTCCAGTAACACACCTCATGGCAATAACCTATTTTCACAGGTCAAAATCTTTTACCAGGGAGGACTCTGGATATTATGCAAATTTTAGAAGAACATCATCAAACCAAGCCAAAAGGTTTGTTTCATGATACATGGTTAAATTTGAAAATCTATATTATATCACCTCTGTGAAAGTATGAGCAATACAAAAAGTGTAATAAAGTTACAATTTTAATAGTTTAATAGTTGTAAAAGTTTAAAACACACGAAGATTGAGAATGGACACTTTTGACTTTATAGAGGAAACACTATCAAATGTATCTGACTTGCTGACCTCTCTTTTGTCTTTTCAGAGAAGGATCGTACAAAAAAGAGGATAAGAAACTTCCTGAACCACAGGCCATTGATGAACCTGTCTACATCAACATGGAGGTAAAATACCCCGACTCAGTTGGGTTTTAATATCTTAAGAAGATGTTAATAAGACAAGTTAGTTGAGTCCCATAACTCTAATACAACAATATCTAGAGAAATAATTCAATTTATATAATAGACATATTAGAAATTCTAAATTTACCCTATGGTGTTTTCAGGAAAGGTTCATTCAATGTTGCTCACCAAAACACATTGCAAGGTGTAGCAAATGTGAGGAATGCACTTCCCTTCTAATAAAACACTTGCAAAGTAGATTTTTTTGCAATGAAAACTTTAAAAAAAAAGTTTGAACCCTGCATTTTTACATCCATGTTTAATAGCAATCTGTCTTCTTCTTCATTGCCTTTTCTTGCATTATCGCCACCTGTAGCTCAGTGGGATAATGTGACAACATTGGCAGGAATATTATATTATATAATATTATATATATTGCGTCATGTAGGGTGGCCAGATCCCAACAAACCAAATGTGGGACAACAACTTTGTGTGGGACAATGTGGGACATGTAATCTGCGCTGAGAGGTTGTCTAAACTTTTTATGTTTCTTGTAATATCTCTATCCTTTGTCCTCTGCTTGATTCAGTAGTACATTTCTCCAGTCTTTGCTGTAACTGCTGTTCTTTGTGGTAGTTTCCATTATATTCCACCCAAATCTGCATAGCTTATGACTTTGTGGTGACTCACAATTTTTCCCGTTGGTCGTACCTAACAAAGATAGTGACAGGTTAACCTGCGCTCGACCCACGTGTGCACAGTTTGACAAACATGGGACTGTGTCTGATGTCAATGACAGACACTTTCTGCACAATCATTAACTACCCTTTTGAAAAGCATCTCTTCTGCAGTGGTTTGGCTTTTGAAAACTAGAACAAAAAAGTAAAAGCAAAAAGTGGAACATCGGGTCACCCTACATGCACCTGAGACAGACAAAACAGGGACCCACTTATTTAAAAACTGCTCAATAGCACTACTAGAGGTCTGAAACTCCACAGGATACCTTTAATGTAATCCAACTTCTGTCTTTGCAGGCCCCTCCAGATCAGATGGATCAAAGTATGGATCACACAGAAGGTGTATATGCAAATGTGGATTATTTAAAATAATAGAAAAGCTACAAGGCCAATCTATTTGGACTTAAGCTTCATCTTAAATTGTATTTCTGTATTCTGCATTGTTTTGTGCACATGTTCATGTCTACCAAATGTGTAAACGTGTCATGGTGGGTGAAAAATTCAGTGTGCAAAGTCAGTATTGCTGTGTCGTTTTAAGTTGTTTGGCGGCTTCTTCAGCCTGGGTGTCTTTCTGCTATGAAGGAAGGATGGGGGCCTTGAACACGTCTGTGTCCAGGGGCCCATTTTCTCATAATCTGTGTATGGTTGTAAGCTATTTAGAGTTAAAAATAGATTGTATTTGTTGATGTTATTTAAAGTTGTTTATAAGGTCTTCGTTTATTACACCAAGGAAGCACTTTAAGTATTAATAATGTACAGTTTATTATTGACAAGGATTGAAGTCTCCTTCACATTTTCCCTAATTTTACAAATGGGCCCCAGTGTGGGTAAAGAATGTGTGTTTTCCTCCCCATTTGGGGAGTCATGCTAGGAACGGATGTTTTTAAAGCCAATATGGAGAGGAAGAATGATTACAACAACCAATAACTCTTCCAATGTACAAAGGGCCATGTAAGATTTGAAAAATTATAAACCTACCCTTTAAAGCTACTGTAGAAATTACATTCATATTGGACGATTTCACCCCTCAAAATTTACATGATAGGGATGATAGTAAACCTGTTACGTATATCACATCTTTAAGACTATTGCCATACCTAGGATGATTGCTTTTTATGGTTGTTTTTATTGTTTACATGTTGCAGTACAATAAGCAATGAGGCTCAAATCTGCTAGTGTTAATATTACCACTAAGTGACATAGGAAATGTTGGACAATGACTTAAGAATTTCGCACATCAGTTTCTGATGTTCTTAGCATCTCATGACTGGAGTTCTGTTTTCTGGTAAATGCATTCATGCTATCTTCTAAAAAGATGGGAGGTAGGGGTCTGTATATCTACACTGGACACATTTTGGGTTTAGTGAAATAAATAGTTAAAAAAAAGTGTTTTTTCCAGTCTTTCTCAATATGTATGCCAATTCACTTCCTGTGTAATTTGTGCTAGAGCTGAAACTTCTGTTTTCTCTTCTTATGCAGTGACAATTTAGGGACTGTACCAAAATAAAGGGTTAAAAATGAATGTCATTGTTTGCCTTCAGTGATCTATACTCCTCTTCCACTGCACTACATCTGTGTGTATAAAAATGACCTAAACATATATTACCCAACTGTCTAAATGCCTGTGCTAAATAAAGTGGAAGTTAGTAAAGATGTTGATGCTGCCACTGTGTTCTGCTTTTACTTTGGTGAGCAACAGGCCCTTTGCATTCATGCCCTACTTCCAGACTCATACTGAATTACGACTCTTCAGACAACAAAAAGAAAATACAAGAATTGAAAAGTGTAAGTTATTGTGTTATTATGACTGAATGTGGTGGGCTTTGTTAAATGTTCTACTGCAAACTTTAATTTTGCACGCTTAATCTAACTGGTGGTAAATGGCCAACTGTGAAAGAAAAACACTCACCACAAGCAACACTTCTTCAAATTTCACTCACATTTGAATTGTTTTCCTTTCCTTACTGTAGCTTTTGTGCATTACTGGAACTCAATGTTCTGTGTACTTTCTTTCTTTATTCATTTGTTCATGAAAAAAAGTAACAGAAGTAACGTGTTAAACAGAGGACAGTCAACAAGAAAGTAATCATATATTGCAACAACATGTCTTTCCTGAGCTTCTGTTGTAGCTGAATAAAAATCCACTCACACTATGACCTCAGCATTTTGGTAACACTTGAGACTTTAAAGGACAAAGCTAGACTATAAATATGACACCCAAAGACATGGCACAAATCTCACAAGCTCTGTAAGTGAAGGCATATTCAGAGGTGAGTGAATTATTTGTATGTGTGCACAAATACAACAAAAAACATCTATTCCTCATCAGTGATGGAGCTGAAGTGGTGGCTTTCCTTTCTGCTGTTACATGGTGAGTCTCAAATTAAAAATTGCTGTTCAAACAAAAACTTCATCTTCATCTTACACTCAAGGATAAATCAGAGTTGTTTTTATTGTTTTAAGGGATCCAGGATGTTCAGTCCTCTAATGGCCAATGGACAGTATCCGTACCTACAAGGATTCCTGCCCTGCAGGGCTCCTGTGTGGTTATTCCCTGCACCTACACTTACCCCAAACCCAACTCAAAGAAGATCCTCAACAGGTGGAGAGGATTCTGGATGAAAGGGAAGAAGATTGTCTCAACCAATCTCCCCAAAAGGAAACTGGCTCTGGAGTACAAAAAACGAACCCAGATTTTGGGAAATCTGCAATCCCGCAATTGCACCATGCTGCTGGATGGCTTGAGGCAGACTGATGTCGGCCCTTTCTACTTCAGGATCGAAATGCCGCAATACAAAAGCTTCTCCTACATAAACAAAGCAGTGTCCATTGATGTTATTCGTGAGTATTGAATAGAATATATTATTAATTTTTAAGGCAGTAAAGTGATATTTTATTCATTGTATTGTGAATCACCTTGGTATCATATTTCAACTCTGCAGGCAATCCACCGCCTCCATCTCTGTCTGTGAAGATGAATAATAAAGTAACTGCCACCTGCTCTGTGTCTCACACGTGCCCATCTATTCCCCCTCAATTCTCCTGGAGTCGCGCTGGAACCGTCACGCGCCGATCAAAGAAGCTGAATAATTGGACGTGGGAAACGATGTCAACCCTGATCTTTAACCCTCTACCTGCTGACTTCAACAAGCCTTTAAACTGCACAGTGCAGTATAGAGGAAAGAAGGAGGTGACAAGTTCCAAGATTCTGATGTGAGCCCAACACTGAAAAGTCTAATGTCTGCTACATTTGTATATGTATAAGTATATGTATACAGTGTGAATTAAGAAACACAATCAGTAGATATTACTCTTTAATCAGTCTTACTTTCATGATCAGTTACCACCTCATATCTGGTGAGTTCCTTAAGATTGAAGCAGCTTTACATAACAAATGCTTCACTACTATGATTTGAATATGAATATGATTTCAGTATGATTATGTGTAAACTAATACAGTTTTGGTCATTTGTAATCAATTTGGTCATCTTACCCCACTAAGTGTATTTGTTTTTTAAATGTTTTTTTAATCTACAGGCTGCCATGTTTAACAGTAGCATAGAACACTGGCTCTAGATAGGGCCGCTTGTATTTTTTGCGTTTCACGGTCATTGTTGTTTCTTCTTCGCACTTGGAAGGGAAAGGTGAATCGGGGAAGTTGTAATCTTCAGCTCTACTGCTAGATGCCACTAAATCCTGCTCACTGGTCATTTCAGTGTCAAAAACAAATTAACAGAATATTTTATTTCTTTCACCACGTTGACATTATAAAGAACATATATAAAATATAATCTATTAATAATAATCTCTTTAATATACTGATAAAACTAGCTTGGCATTGAACTATTATAAATCCTATACTGTCATGAAGGTTATAGGAAGTATAAGTGTTATATTGAAGGGTGTTTCCTTGATACAAATGTGATAATATACACAACTTGTTCTTGATTGATCTAATAAAAGATACACAGACAACTTTGCTGCTAGTTAAACCTCATTATTTCTGCACATTACACACTGTGGCTGACAGTAGTTGTGCACTTATGTGAGATCAGATGTTTGGACTGTTAACTGAGAAATACTGTATCTCTCAAAGTGAATTTCTGTTGACTAATGTATGGCTGTTTAAGGTCATAGAGAGTAAGTTGCCATGTTTGAAATGTGTGACATGATCACTTTACACTTTAGTTTTTTATCAGCTATGATGGTGACCAGCTTCCTCTTTGACTTCCTGTCAATTTACCCTGAACACACTTTCAAAACACCAAGGCTTTTTCCACATTGACCAAACACACAGAGGTTATTTTCACTTCATTGTTTTAGTTGATTAACACGTTAATACAATCTGTGAAGGTACATGAACCGTAAGTGCTGCTGTCATGTTCTAATACATACAGGTAGATTTAAAGTACCATGACCATGTTGCTCAAGTAGCAAAAAGTTCACAAAAAGTTCCACACATTATCTGCACTTCATTTGTTATTCAGCAGGAAAACAGTCATGTTATTGGATGGTTACATAAAAAGTGTACTGAGATAACTTCTGTTATGATTTGATGCTTCACAAATAAAATTTCCTTAATAGCAAACACAAGTGCATTCATTGTAATGCTAATCTATGGATTAAACTTTATATACCTCCATGTTGCAATATATAGGATATTTTCTGAGGACATAACACAGAAAACATGTGTTTTTTTTAACAAATTTGCCACAAAAACACACACAAGGTTACGCAATATCAGCTTCCTTGTGTCATTTAACATCATGGGGAAACTTTCTTTTAAACTGAGGTGAACAACTAAAACCTTTATGTTGCAGCATGTGAGAAGTTGGTTCCTCTTCAGATCTCCCCCTACTGGCAGAATTACATTTTTGAATTTAGGACCCTGAAAAGAGCTGTTGACACTTTGCACAACCACTGAAACCCAATGATGTAAACTGCAGCAGGAGGGTGAGCACATTTTCCAGGTTGATGGGAATTTATTTCTTTATTTTTCTGGGCTTTTTTATGCCTTTATTTGACAGCAACAGCTTAAGAGAGACAGGAAGAGGGAAAGAGAGAGGGGACACCGTGCAGCAAAGGCCCACAGGCTGAAATCAAACACAGACTGGTGCAGTAAGCACTCAGCCTTAGTGCATCAGAATCAGAATCAGAATCAGAAATACTTTATTCATCCCTAGGGGCAAATGTGTTTTTTACAGTTGCTCAAGGTCCTCACACAATGTTAAACAATATAAATAATAATTATGTGACACTGGTTATTCTTACCGTTAATCATAACTTGATAGTTACTGTAGTAAAAGTACCTTTGGGTCGTGGGTAAAGCAAAAGCACGGGACAACTTCATCTTGGTTACTCAATCCACTTTAATGTCCGCTTCAACAGTAGGACAACTGAACACTACTTTACATCATATCACTCTGCCAATCTTAACCATTGGTAACATTACAGGTAACATACACCTCATGTAGTTCCTCATCTACATTGTAGAACAGAATACAAATATGTTTATATATGTAGTTACCATTAATTAATTTATGCAAATTCAATAAACATAGTAAAGTAATTCACAAAATAAATCTCATCTTACAATTATATTACAATATCTAACACAATATATATTGAATAGAAATGTTTATATAGGTATATACATATAAGTAAATAATAGAACCAGAAATATAATAAGAACCTAAGTATATATGGATGCATGGAAATATGTATGCATGGGGCGCACACTCTACCAGGGGAGCTTCCAGGGCATCCCAGCTGATGGGAAATTCATTAGTTTAGCTATATTCCTGCTTCTTGGCCCCAGTGTGGTTTCATTTTTAATGTCATCTTTATTCTCTTTAATGGTGCTTTCTTGCCCCAAGTTGTTCAGAATGTTCAAAAAATATTCAGATTAATTTGAATGCTTTTCCTCATTTTTTTTTTTTAAACTGTGAAGCACTTTGAAAAGCGTTGCATGTTAGTAAGCATTACTAACTACTCACCACAAGCAACAGTGACTGCACTGACACAAATTTCACTCTCGCACATTTCTAAGTTAATAGTTATTAATAACTCATCAACGACAATGCTTCTTTTAACAAGAAGTAGTTTTGCATTTAGAGGCGTCACCTCATAGTCTTGTCATAAGAAACTTCATCATTATAGAGAAACAGGCTTTGGAAGCTAATTTGCACCAAACAAAGGAGGCTGACAAGATTTTGAGGAGGAATGTGACTTTCTCGTCCTTGGTTGTATCAGTGTCCTGCATGTTGGGCACTGGTTTATCAACTGTAGCAAGACTTGCTACTAACCCCAGCACATTCTTTTGACTGCTGCACACACACTAATCACACAACTGAGCCTGCTTCCTGAAGTCCATACAGGTCTGCTCCAGTTGTGTCTCCTCTGTCATGTGTCGAGCCTCGAGGTCCAGCACACTACTGCCTTAAAAGAGGTGAGAGTGATGAGTTCCTGGGTATCAGCTGAGACAATCAACTCACCAGGCGCTGCTCTCCCAAGCCTTCCCCACAGCTCTCTCCTCTGCAGCTGAGTGCAAACCACACCCACCTCCACATCAACATAGCTCAGAGACTGTTGTCTTCCCAGGGTTTGTCTCTTAGATTTTTTAGTGTAAAGTTACTTTTTACTGCATGCCTATT